AAAGAGAGGGAACCAGAAGCCGTGGGTCTTGGTGCTGTTTCTCATTTTAACTCACTGTGCATCAGAGATCGTGGGCATCTAATGAGATCTTAAAAATGAGATTTTAAAAATGAGGTTTTAGGAGCAACTTCAGTCCCAATAAGACGGTGAGTCATCTTCGCCTAACGTTCCTGACAACAACTCTGTGAGGTAAGAATTCTTCGTGTCTCCCATTTTACAGATGAGGAAACCGAGGCACAGAGAGGTGATGTAACTCGCTCAGAGTCACCGAGTGAGTGGCAGAGACAGGATTCCAGCCCACCCAGCCTGGCCCTGGCGCCTAGGCCCCTAACGACGGCACCACCAGCCTCTCCCAGGTCAGTGAGCCGGGCTGGTTGGTGCATCACTCAGCTCACACTCGGTGCCACAGCAACCTTCCCTCTCTGCTCAGCTGATGGAGATAAACCCCTCCCGGGGCACCCCCTCCCCGCACCAGCCAGGCCCTGCAGCTCTTCCAGGTGTGTCTGCTCTCCCACAAACAGGGCTCAGGTGGGGGAGTCTGTTCATGAGATACAGACCCATCCTGCCAGCGGGCTTTTCCAGGAGAGAGAACCCCAAAGCCACTGTGAAGGAGCCAGATGACGGCCGGAGGAGGGCGGAGGGGAGGGGGTGGCCTGAGGTACCCAATGGAGTGACATCTCCCTGGGCGCCCTCTGCGTGGTGTTTCTGGGCAGCACACACCGTCTGTGGATGTCCCTTAAAACCAGCGTCCTTAACGTGTGACCCCGGCCCCTTCCAACACGCCCCCTCACAACTCCAGCCATGCCCTAACCTCCCTGACTCCCCTATTACCAACCTCCGTCCGCGAAGGAGCTGCCAGATCTCCTTGTCGCTCCATCTCCACGTCACTTTAACCTTCCCAGAGAGATGTGTTGGTGAAATAGACCCCAGGAGGTCTAGCTGGTGCTTCCTTCAGAGCCAGAGGAGGCTCAGCAGAGGACAGGCAGGCCTTGCTGGGTCTCGGATGTTAGGGCACAGAGTTGGGCCTGAATGCTTCCTCGGGTGGCCGGGTTGGCACCTGCCACATTCTCGAGGCATGTTCAGCCCCTCTCCACCCCTCTGGGGCAGCTTTGACCCTTCTGAGAATGATTGGAGGCAAGAAAAAAAAAAAATGCATTTCTCTTCTGCAGAGGCAGGTCTAAACAAGGTCATGCACTTGGCCATTTGCCTTTGTTCAGCGTGTGGTTCTCAGCCTCGCAGCCCCGTGTCTGTAGGATTTCCCACGCACGGCCTTAGCTTCAACGATCAGTCCGATTCCACGGCCTGACCTGTTTCTCCCATGGGGTCAGGAGCCAGCTCCGCACAGCTGCCTGGATGTCCTGAAGCACCTCTAAACCCAAACGACGCACCAAGCCTGGGACACAGGCTCCCAGTCTCGTGCGCGGAGCTCTCGTCTCTCTGTTGCGCACGGTCCCTGCCCTCAACGCTTCAGGGCACCCTAATTCCATCCAGCAGTTCCCACCTTCCTCCGGCAGCCAGCTGGAGCCCACTCGGCTCCCCGGGTGCGGGCAGGAAGTGCTGGGAACTCACTCGGCCAACATCTGACAGGAGTCAGCGGTTAAAGACCCCAGCGCCCTCGATCCACAGGTGGGACCCATCTGATACCCCGGCGCCCTCGATCCACAGGTGGGCCCCATCTGATGCCGGTTCCCAGAGTCCTCTGCAGGGAGGGAGGGTTGAGCTCCAACTGCCCGAGGTGGTCGCTGACTTGCTGCGTAACCTGCTCACTTCCCCACTCTCCTGATGTTCCCTGGGATCCGCTCCAAAATAAACTACCTTTGCTTGGATCCTCGCCTCAGGTTCTGGAAAACCCAGACTGAGACACCCCCCGGTTGAGTAAACCTCCCCCCAGGGCCCCGCCCTCGATGACTAGAGTCCTGGGAACCTCCCTCGGCCCCAGTCTCTGGCCTCCGGCGGAGCCGCCCAGGCAGGTGCGGTGTCCACACTGCCTCCCTTCGAGGCTCCTAAACCAGTGAGCCTGAAAGCAGATCCCGCAGCCGAGCCCCGAGACGACTGCAGCCCCCGACAAATCTTAACGGCAGCCCGTGAGGGCCCTGAGCAAGGAGCACCCCCTGGGCAGGGCCACGTGCCTGATCCACAGAAACCCTGAGATGACAGATGTGTGCAGTTTTACGTCGCTACGGTTTGGGGTAACTTGTTACGCAGCGACGGTTAACTAATACACTTTGCCTCTCACTCTTGCTCCCCTTGAACAGGAGCCCCCATGAGCTTTAGCAAATGAATTTCACCTTGGGCTTCGTCTCCTAGGGAACCTTCTCCGCCTCCCGTCCCAGGGGCCTCCATACTGTACCAAAGAGACAGATCCTTGTCTTCAAAGTCAGAAGCAACCGTCCCTCGATACGCAAGTGTCCCACCCATTTCTCCCAACTGGAACTTCTGCTTTAGACCAGTTGGGTCTGACGGACTCGTGCCATGAATACGATGGCTTTTCATACCAGTTACGCACGTGTGACATCGCTGGGCCTATGGCTTCCCAAAGCAGCCCACAGCATCCCCATGGAGGGCGGGAAGCCACACCCGGGCTAGAAACTGGAGATACCCCAATTCCGGCTCCTCCCCCCATTCGCAGCGTTCATTCCGTATGCGACTAGCACGGCTCCTTTCCTGCGATAGGGAAATAAAGCCTCTGATTTTCCAGCTACTAGGGGGGTGGGGGTGGGGGATCGGTTTTCTGCGCCTTTTACGTTCCTTCTCTCTCTCTTGCAGGCTGGCTCCTAAACACCCCACTGAATAATTGCTCCCCGTACACATTCGGGCTAGAAAGTGTATTTGGGAACTGCCTGTGTTTCCTCGGGTCCACTTAGTGCAGGGGGTGGCATTGGTTCTACACAAAGTCCTCAGGGCAGCAAAACGGAATATTCTTTTCCTCGCCAGCCCCTCTGCAAACAAACAAACAAACAAGCCCTGGCTACAAACCCTGGTTAACCAGAAACTCAAGGAAGGACCCCCGCCCGCTCGTTTCACTCCGGGAGAGGAAAATGGACTGGAGTCAATGGAGGCGGGCGAATTCTGAAGCTCTCTGTCTGGAACCTCGGACGGGACTCCCGCTTCTCCTCGGGCCACCCACAGGCTT